GTCCTGACCTCAACCCGATTGAAATGCTGTGGCATGACCTTAAGAGAGCGATTCACACCAGACATCCCAAGAATATTGCTACACTGAAACAGTTTTGTGAAGAGGAGTGGTCCAGAATTACTCCAGATTGTTGTGCAGGTCTGATCTGCAACTACAGGAAACGTTTGGTTGAGGTTATTGCTGCCAAAGGAGGGTCAACCAGTTATTAAGTCCAAAGGTTCACATACTTTTTCCTCCCTGCACTGTGAATGTTTACATGTTATGTGCAATTAAACCATGGCAACATCTAATGTTTGTGTAGTATTATGTTCAGCAGACTGTGTTCTTCTATTGTTGTGACTTAGATGACGTTCAGAGCACATTTTATGCCCAATTCATGCAAAACTCCACGTAATCCCAAGGGGTTCACATACTTTTTCTTGCAACTGTATATATTATTATACAGGATTTATATAGCGCCAACAGTTTGGTCAAAGCTTTACAATATAATGGGAGACAATACAGCAACAATACAGTTCAATACAAGAGGGAAAGGAGGGCCCTGCTCCTTGTAACTTACAATCTAGGATATATATATATATATATATATATATATACACACTATATTGCCAAAAGTATTGGGACACCCCTCCAAATCATTGGATTTAGGTTTTTCAATCACCTTCATGGACACAGGTGTATAAAATCAGGCACCTAGGCATGCCGACTGCTTCTACAAACATTTATGAAAGAATGGGTTGCTCTCAGAAGCTCAGTGAACTTAAGCTTGGTACCGTGATAGGTTGCCACCAGTGCAATAAGTCCATCTGTGAGATTTCCTTGCTACTAAATATTCCACAGTCAACTGTTAGTGGTATTATAACAAAGTAGAAGCAACTGGGAACAACAGAGCACATAAAATGACAGAGCGGGTCAGCGCATGCTGAAGTGCACAGTGCGCAGAGGTCGCCAACTGTCTGCATAGTCAATAGCTAAAGACCTCCAAACTTTGTGTGGCCTTCCCTCCAAAGCCTCCATGGCCGAGTAGCTGCATCCAAGCCTTACATCAAGTGCAATGCAAAGCATCAGATGCAGTGGTGTAAAGCACGCTGCCACTGGACTCTAGAGCAGTGGAGCCATGTTCTCTGGAGTGACAAATCACGCTTTTCTGTCTAGCAATCCGATGCACATGTCTGGGTGTGGCGGTTGTCAGGAGAATGGTACTTGCTTGACTGCATTGTGCCAAGTATAAATTTTGGCGGAGAGGGAATTATGGTGTGGGGATGTTTTTCAGGGGTTGGGCTTGGCCCCTTAGTTCCAGTGAAGGGAACTCTTAAGGCATCAGCATACCTCATTTTTCATGCCAACCACCAGAATGTGCAAGGAGCTGGCTCAATTTGTGCCACTACATAATCCCCAAAGGCCACTATTCGCATCACCTTTGAACAATTATGACTTTTTTGGTGTAGTATTATTTAGAATCAACCAGCATACAAAGTAGAACATAAAAGTAAAAAGTGCAGTTTTCAGCACTTGCAAATATGGCCACCGCATAGACTACATGCAGCAGTGTGATATCAGCACTCTAACCCCTCATTTTGCACTCTAGCGCATCATCAGGGATTAAAGAGTGCCATTTGAAACAAGCTCAATATATATATATATATATATATATATATATATATATATATATATATATATATGTATATATATATATATAAGTAGCAATAATAATTAAAGGAGCAACTTATCTGCCATCTTGCTGAAGTCAGGCGGCCATTTTCCTGTGTACATATCTAGTGGGAATACACATGTCCAGTATGATCCATAGGACTATGTATCGCTGCCATTTTGCCATGGTTCAGCAGTCATTTTCTGATAGGCCCTAATGTCCTTTGGGTGGTCAGCCAGTCTATTGTATGCTAAATCATAACAAAACAGAAGCAGCTATGTGTCAATGGACTGAAAAGGGAATAAAAAATAATGGTATAATAATGCCACCATGGTTGCATAGGGAAATCCCTTTAGTGAACGTATCAAAAGGTGATGGGTAGGCCACGTTTTGAGCTCCTTTATAGCCATTAGCAGAAGGGGAGTCCAGATTTGGCTAAATTCTTTACAAGATGTGCTTACCAACATTAGCAGATTGTGCAGGTTCTTGGAAAATGCTGGTACTTGTTAAGTACAGATGAAGTAGTGGGATAATATGTTAAGTCTTGTCCTGAATTAGTCTATTAGAGGAGTATATCATTGAGAGATAGACTGGTGAGAAGCTGCTTTACTATAGAAATGAAGGACTTCTTGTTACTTTCTGATGCGGTACATGCCCTGAATGTCCCTACATTAAAGAGAGCACCACTTATGTGGTAATGGTAAAATAGTTTCCCCAGTAAGCCGAGATGTAGGCTTGACCCATAACTATGATGTATCCATCATAAAAAAAAATTTAGGACATTGGATCAGGTTACATAGTTAGTCCGGCTGAAGAAAAGTTCATTCAATTCAACCAATAGAAGGCAAAAAAAAATTATATACAATTGTATATATACACAGTCTTATACACTGACAGTTGATCCAGAGGAAGGAAAAAAAAAAAAACATTAGCATGATCTAATTCACTCCAGAAGGGGAAAACATTCCTTCCTGATCCCCCAAGAAGCAATCAGAAATACCCTGGATCAACATTACCTATAGATATCAGTATCTGGTTATATTATGTGCATCTAGGAAAGAATCAAGGCCTTTTTTTAAAACAATCTACACATTTTAACAGCTCTTACTGTGAAGAAGGCTTTCCATATTTGGAGGTTACATCTCTTTTCCTCCAGATGTAAAGAGTACCCCCATGTCCTCTGTGATGACTTAAATTGAATGACTCTACACCAAGTTCACTATGTGGACCACTTATGTATTTATATATGTTGATCATATCCCCCCTTTATTTTCTTCTTCTCAAGAGAGAGTACATTCAGTTCCTATAATATTTACTCATAGCCAAGCTCCTCAATGCCTTTTTTTTTTGTTTTGGTTGCTCTTCTCTGAACTTTCTCCAGTTCCCCGATATCCTTTTTGTGAACTGGTGTCCAAAACTGAACTGCAAATTCTAGATGAGGTCTTTCTAATGATTTGTACAGGGGTACAATGGTGTCTTTGTGCAATTACAAAATGTGTGAAATGAGCATACAGTAATGCTTCTCATTAAGGCACGTTCTCAAATGTATATACACAATCAAAGTTCTAGGAACCCAATCCCACTGGAGTATTATCCAGATTAGAATAGAATTCCCAGAGAAAAAAGTGTTCCTTTAAATGTGCCCAAAAATGAGGGGATATAGAAAACCACAAAATATAAAATAAAAAAATTATGAAGATGAAGATGGAATATGGCATTTTAATCATAATTTGTAATAAACTTGTTTTTGATTTTATACAGCATACTGTGGTTTTCTATACCCCCTAATTTTTTGGCACATTTAAAGTCCCACTTTTTTTCTCTGGAAATTCCATTCAAATCAGCATAATCCTCTGGTGGGATTAGGTTGCCAGAAATTTGATTTTGTGTACAAAATGAAGTCTTTGTCTCTGAAGTCTATACCTCGCTTAACACAAGAAAAGATTCTGCGAGCTTTGGAAACTTCAGCTTGGCATTGCATGCCATTATTAATATGATTCTAAAGGCTCAAGGCTTTTTACCTTCATGTATTTTATGCATGAAAGTGAAAAAACCTTCTGTGTGCAGCATCCCCCCCAGCCCCCCACCCCCAATAATAACCTAAGCCCCCTCTCCAACCAGTGAAGTGCATTGGAGTCTCAGCTATCCAGGGACTCCCTCTTCTCATTGACTGCGACAGAAGTGGGAGCCATTGGCTTCCTTTTCTATCAATAACAGCCAGTGAGCCAATGAGAAGAGAGAGGAGGCGGGGCAAAGTCACAGCTTCATGTGTGAGAATGGACACATGAAGCAGCGGGTACCCCCATAGCAAGCTGCTTGCTGTGAGGGAACCCGGCAAGAGGAGAGGCCAGGAATGCCTGCAGGGGACCCGAGAAGAGAAGAATCTAGACTGCTCTGTACAAAATCACTGCATACAGTAGGTAAGTATAGGCATGTTTGGTATTTTTTCTTTAAAGAAAATAAACCTTTGGAATCTCTTTAAGCCTATGATCTACCAGAACACCTAGATCCTTCTCCACCATTGTTTTCCCCAGCTGTTCTCCTCCTAGCATGTACTGTATGTTGCCTCCAAGTGCATAGATTTACATTTATCAACATTAAACCCCATTTGCCACATCGATGACCAACTAACAGTGCATTGAGGCCGACTTGTTGAAGACATCCTTAACTACTTGCCCTCCAGAGTATTTACCCCCCTTCCTGACCAGGCCATTTTTTGTGATACGGCGCTGCCTTACTTTAACTGACAATTGCGTGATTAGAGATGAGCGAATTATTCAAAAATTCGATTCGGCTGATTCGCCGAATTTGAGGAAGAAATTCGATTCGATGCGAATTAATTCGCTATGAATTTAACTTATTAAAAGGGTTTCTAGGCTTCAGAGAGCCTTTAAATTAGTGCAGAACACTGTACCTTTAATTTAAATGCCCTTGGAGATGAGGAAGGACAAGGAGAAGGAGAAGGATGAGAAGAAGGAGAAGGATGAGAAGAAGGAGAAGGATGAGAAGAAGGAGAAGGAGAAGGATGAGAAGAAGGAGAAGGATGAGAAGAAGGAGAAGGATGAGAAGAAGGAGAAGGAGAAGGATGAGAAGATGGAGAAGGAGAAGGATGAGAAGAAGGAGAAGGAGAAGGATGAGAAGAAGGAGAAGGATGAGAAGAAGGAGAAGGATGAGAAGAAGGAGAAGGATGAGAAGAAGGAGAAGGAGAAGGATGAGAAGAAGGAGAAGGAGAAGGATGAGAAGAAGGAGAAGGATGAGAAGAAGGAGAAGGAGAAGGATGAGAAGAAGGAGAAGGATGAGAAGAAGGAGAAGGATGAGAAGAAGGAGAAGGATGAGAAGAAGGAGAAGGATGAGAAGAAGGATGAGAAGAAGGATGAGAAGAAGGAGAAGGATGAGAAGAAGGAGAAGGATGAGAAGAAGAAGAAGGATGAGAAGAAGAAGAAGGATGAGAAGAAGGAGAAGGATGAGAAGAAGGAGAAGGATGAGAAGAAGGATGAGAAGAAGGAGAAGGATGAGAAGAAGGATGAGAAGAAGGAGAAGGATGAGAAGAAGGAGAAGGAGAAGGATGAGAAGAAGGAGAAGGAGAAGGATGAGAAGATGGAGAAGGATGAGAAGAAGGAGAAGGATGAGAAGAAGGAGAAGGAGAAGGATGAGAAGAAGGAGAAGGAGAAGGATGAGAAGAAGGAGAAGGAGAAGGATGAGAAGAAGGAGAAGGAGAAGGATGAGAAGAAGGAGAAGGATGAGAAGAAGGAGAAAGAGAAGAATGAGAAGAAGGAGAAGGATGAGAAGAAGGAGAAGGAGAAGGATGAGAAGAAGGAGAAGGATGAGAAGAAGGATGAGAAGAAGGAGAAAGAGAAGGATGAGAAGAAGGAGAAGGATGAGAAGAAGGAGAAGGAAACAAATAGATACAATGTTTCAACCGCTGTATGGAGGGAATGTCACAGAACTGTCAGAAATAGCGGAGCTCTGCAGATACACTTAGCGGAGCTCTGCAGATAGATACAACGGTTGAAACATAGGCTATGTTTCAACCGCTGTATGGAGTGAATGTCAGAGAACTGTCAGAAATAGGCTATTTTTTCCTGAAAATCGAATCGAATTCCACTTCGCCTGGTTCGATTCGCTCATCTCTATGCGTGATCATGCGCGCTGCACCCAAATTAAATTTATGTCCTTTTTTCTCACAAATAGCTTTTTTTCAGTGGTATTTGATCACCTCTGCATTTTTTGTTTTTTTGCGCTATAAACAAAAAAAGACCGACAATTTTGAAAAAAAAAAATATTTTTGATTTTTTGCTATAAAATATATCCAGTAAAAAAATAAAAAAAATCAAATTTCATCATAAATTTAGGCCAAAATGTATTCTGCTACAAGTCTTTGCTAAAGAAAATCCCAATACTTGCGAATTAATTGGTTTATGTGAAAGTTATAGCATCTATAAATGGCGGCATATATACTGCAATTTTTTTTATATACTAGTAATGGCGGCAATCAGTGACTTATAGCAGGACTGCGGCAGTCATTCTGACACTGGGGGGAACTGACTAGCTGCCACTGACATCCCCAGTGACACTAATACAGTGATCAGTGCTAATAAAAAGCACTGACACTGTACTAATGACACTGGAGAGGAAGGGGTTAACATCTGGGGCGATTAAAGGGTTTGCAGTGTGCTGTGTGTGTTTTACATAATGTGCTGTGTGTGTTTTGCTATGTAGACAAGCTGCTTTGTATTGCTCAGCTGTGCAGAGCAATACAAAGCAGCCTGTTGGTGCTGACGAGAGAGATCTGTGTTGTTTGCATGTAGACCTCCGGCCCCTACGTGATTTTGCGTAGCCCTGGCGCCCTGTAGCAGTAGTTCTGCTATAGGGCTGCGTGGAAGCAGTTAAACGATGTTATTTTACTGCATATCTTGATGTCATTTGCAAAGACTGAAATTATATTTATAATCCCAGACCCTATATCATTTATAAATATATTAAAAAGTAAGGGTCCCAACACTGAACCTTGGGGTACACCACTGATGACCCTAGACCATACAGAGTATGAATCATTAAGCACTACTCTCTGAATACGATCTTTTAGCCAGTTTTCTACCCATTTACAAAGTGATTTTTCTAAACCTGTAGACTTTACTTGTACTTGAGGGCCCCAGAGGAGGAGATTTTGATATATGTGTTTCAGAAGGGGAAACAAAGTGGATATAAGACAATAAATGACAACAAAAAAAGAAAGCCCTGGTCTTGAGAACGCCCTGTGGGTGGGGCAAAACGTGTTGACGCACTTCCGGTCAGCCGTCATTCTGGTTCACGTCATTTCCGGTGATTGGAACGCACGCCGAGGGATGCGTTCCAAGTGGCCATCTTAGAGGTGGAAGGCTGTTTTTCATCCTCTGCAACTTAACAGAATCGCGAGGTCCCTGTTTTTAAACTTTGGATTGTGGATGCATTTAAGCCATTAAGGCTATTAAACAAGGCTTTCTATTTTATTCAATCATGTGAGTGGCCTGGCTTTATCTTTACATTTAATATCAATCTGGCAGTATTACACTATGTGGTTTCTTTTTCTTTGCACCATTGAGGAGCTTATGGAGGAGTAAGGTGGAGGCGAGCAATATACCCATTCAGGGTGGAAAAGAAGATTTGATCTTTTTGGAGGGGGTATAGGATCCCTTATATCCTATAAGGCTCATTACGCACCTTGATCTGGTGAGTGTGGTTGATATTATTTATCACGTTGTCGAAGGTGGAAGCATATTTTGAATATTTTATACATTCATCTCTCACTGGGAATAAGGACTTTTATTTACATGGACATTTGGTTTATTGTTTGCTCACCCATATATTGTATATTTGGAGGTTCTTGTTTGCGCTGTTTTTTTGTTGTCATTTATTGGTGTTTTCACTGTTGCACAGCGGCATACTCACTTGGCATTTATCTTTGTGCGCTGGGATATATTTTCTGTCTTTTTAAAGTGGATATAGGGCCTGAACCCTTTCACTGCCAGTTCCGTACAGCATACAGACCTACAGCACTGCTTCCTCCTTCTGCTATGAGCCCATGGTCACTCCAGTGATCATGAACTTATAGCAGAACTGTTCAGCAGACTCTGCTGAACAAAACATCAGCTCTGATCAGTGGATGAGTTATTCGCCTAAAAATTGACCCCCCCCCCCCGTCTGTCACCCACCGCTCTCTGTCCTTCCACCTAATCTGCTGTCCTGGCTACTAAAATGCCCCCGTCACCTCACGCCTACTTCTGGCACTGTTCGCCCCCCCCCCCCGCAACACTGTTCTCACCCCCTCCACCAACCTTTCCTCCCTCCACGAGCACCAATCTCTGTTGCTGGATGTCGGCTTCCCCCTGCTGCCTCTCCCACCGACAATTGCACCCAGCCACTGTGCTCAACATTGGCAATAAAGTTCAAATAAAGCCCTCTGTGACCCCCCTCAGTTGGGTCCCCCCCCCCCCCGGTCGTCCTCTGGCAGTCCCATTAATGCAGCTCTCCCTAACTCCTCTCCTGCTGTATTCTGGGTCAGTCCAGGCAGTGAAGTGTCAGGATGAGAGCGAGGAGGGGGGGCTAATAAACGTGTTTACCAGCCCCCTTTCTTTCCTGAATGAACAGATCACTTCTGTAAACAGTTAGTATTTCAGTTTGTGAATGGGAGTCTCTATGCAGATTCCCATCTCATCCACTTATAGTGCAGCTCAAGCTGCAGAGAAAGGGACTGTCTTCAGTCCCTTTCTCTGTCTCCAAAAACAGACATTAGGGGTTTGTTTAAACCCCTGATGTCTCTTCAAAGCCCCCTCCTCAAAAAAAATAATCTCTAAGAACGATTAAAAAAATAAAATTGTGCCTATAACAAAAAAAAATAAAAATAAAATAAACCCCATAGTAATGCCTCTTTCATAAGGGCGGACTGTCAGTTTTTTAGGTGGACCCAGTCTACCCCTCTATTATCCTCTATGGAACAGCTGATGTAAACATACCTGCTAAAAACAGACAGATGGGGATCCGTTCCCCATTCGTATAGCAGATTGTATGGCAGTCAGGTGTAAGTGTGAGATGGGGAAACAGCTCTCATTGTTTGAACATTGTTTGTGTGGAAGTAAATTAATGTTTTGACTGACATTCTGTGGTTTAGCCACAAGATGTCACTGTTTTTCTAACAGTTTCAGACTGCATAGATAATTGTATATTCATGAAGAGGTGGGGTTTTGCACACAGAGTTGGAGAGAACAGAAAGGAGAGAGAGAAGCCATGTTTTGGAGCATGGTGTATAAGGGGCCCTGTGAGCTGAGAATCTGATGACATCCAGGTGTGAAAGCGTCCCTCAGTAACCAGAGATTGCTGCCAGGAATGCTGATGAGATTGCTGCCAGGAAGCTGATGAGATTGCTGCCAGGAAGGCTGATGAGAACAGAGGAACTAAGCAACATATACAGCAAGACCGCATGCTTGTTGGAGAGACATTTGTTCTGTTCAGAGTCACCAGCGGATGCAAAGCAGACCCGGGTCGGTAAGATCGTGCATGCACCTCATTTCAGTGTTGGCGCCTTGAGACTGAGTCCAGGCCTATAGTTAGTTAGGGTCTCTGTTTGTGTCAGGCCACAAGTGTTGCTACTGATTATTGGAAGGACTCCACAACGTAAAGTGACATTTCACATTGGAGAGCTGATAAAATCCTACAAACTCAAGCCAGACTGGCGTTTTGCTCAGAAGGAATACTCAGGAACGTGCTACAGGACCAGTTATGGGAGGGGGAATACTGTAGATTTGTGTAAGATTGTAAGCTGTTGTGCTGCATCGCAGGCTAGCCCATACCGTACACCCATACACTGATTCCTGCTCTTTTAGGGTAATAACAGGTAAGGTGTGGCAGCTTATTTGTGCCCGCCAGTAGGTAAATTACTAAACTTTCTACCTTCATCCATCAGAAGGTGCCGTGCTGTGCAGCACAAGGGTCTCAGCCTTTGGGCTGGGTGTATGTAAATTTATTGTATGTTTCCAGCATTTGTGGTTGTGCTTATTTGCCACATCTAAGTAAAATTCTGTTGTGGCAAAAGCTTGTGTTGGGGTTGCTTTCCTCGTTCGTGACTTCACTGTATCCTGGGGAGCCCACCCCGGTACACGGCTTACATAAGCGGACAGGCAATCTGTTTACATCACACCTCCCATAGAGGACAGCGGGCTGTATCTGTGTCTGTTCTGCATAAGCAGAGCAGACACAGACCAGCCATCCATCTGCTCAGCAAGAATCAACAGACAGATTCCCTGCATTTAAGTCTCTCTTGCCTCCAAAGCCACATTAAGTTCACGCTCGAGAGACTACTCACAGGCGGTGAGTAAGCGGTGCTCTGCTTCCTCACTGCCTGTTTTAACCCCATTTATGCTGTCAAATGCGCCGCAACCACAAGTATTGCACATGGTTTCAGGGTATTTGCTGCACTTCTCTATTTACTTGAATGTGTAGAGTTCGGTGGGTGCAAAACAAAGCAACTTTGTCATAGGCTCAAGGCAACGCAGCATGTTAATACCCCCGTCGGCTGCCTATTGCACCTTAAGGGGGGGAGGCAGAAACACAGCTCAACAGCACATTTTTGCCGCCATCCACAACCACAAGCCTAAACAAGGCCTAGGGCCCCATTCACATGGGGCATACTACAACAAGGCTGTGTTTAGCTGCACAGTGATCCCCATGCAGGCAGTCCCACCAATGTCAATTAGGACACAGCGGCTGCAGGGGAATAGACAGGTGTTCCATGCATTCCTGTGCAGGCCCAATCATGTCAATTGGGATACAGTGGCTGCATGGACACAGCCATTACTCCCAACTTGACATCCGTGTCGGTGCATGTCCCTGAACTCACACTGTCTGAGTTTGGGGCCATGCACCTACACTTGCACAGATATCAGATTTGTCCTTACAGCCGCTGCATCCTAATTTATATAAATGGGACTGATTGCACAGGGATGCACCGAACACCTGTGCAGTTAAACACAGCCCTCCATACAGCCTTCCATGG